GGTCGAAAATGATAGAAATTGATTCGAGGCAGAGACAAATTCTGTTATGTATTGTTGATTTCGTTGTCATTCTAATTTAATCTATCAGCAAATGAGGATTGGGAGTCGGAGCCATTCGACTTTCTCATCGATGGAGAGCTGGTCCGAATGTCGCTTGAGGAGTTTCTTCTTGCTAAAGGCATTTCTGCTGTAAGAATTTTTTTGATAAATAAGACAGTGATACTTGGTGCCTCGTGCTTACTGGTGTATGATTGACTTTAGGTGTTCAAGTTAGGATAAAAAATGTTCATAATTTGTGACAATTTTAAAACCATTAGAAATTCTTTGGGTCGTTTGAATTAAGGTGCGATCACTGGTTATTACCTGGTTTTTAATACAGGATTGGTGTTCTCGTATGTGTCTATCAGTGTTTTAAAACGCGTATAGCGAAATGCGTCGCGTTTTGGTCTTTATACTGCGTAACGTAAATAACGTTGCGTGTTACGTAAGCTATTTGTGTATAATTTTTTTTTTGTATATAAATATTTCAAGCATATTTGCCTATAATAAAAATGGATGGTTGATTGCAAAAATTATCATAGTATTTGAATGACTTAAAAAATAACATCTAAGGATTAATTCTCACAGATGTTTAATGTAAATATCATCATAATATTAATATAAATATTTAATGATAAATTGAATATACTAAAAAGTAAAAACAAACAACAAAAATATAGTGAGGTACATCATAGTATATTTTAAGTATATGCATTTTAGTTATTATTTTTTTATTTAACTACAACTGATTCTAATCATTAGATATGAACTTTTTATTCTATATTTAAATGTCAAATATCGAAAAATAAAATAATATAACAAAAATGGACCAAAAAATATTGCAATATTCGACTTAGGACTTTGCATTTTCAAACTTTTAATTTGAAATCATTATAAAAATTTTGGTTTTTAATTATCATTTGTAAATATGACGCTGATCCCTAAAAAATATGAGTTCTACAATATTTTATTGTTCAAATGTCGTTGCAGAAATATAGTGCAATGTAGCGCACAGTAACGTGAAAGAGCACAAAATAGCGTAAGAAAGCGTGTCGTGTCAACATTTCGCGTAAGCTTTTCTGGAAAAACGCTAAATATATAAGTCTACATCGCTTTTTTCCGAAAAAAAAACTATATAACGAGCAATAGCGAGCTACATAGCGAGCTATTTAAAACAATGGTGTCTATGAATGTATTCTTTGATCTTTCTTTCAGTAATAAGTAAAATATACCGTAGTTGTTGGGGAAATGACTTTTGGAATAAGTCCAGCTAAACTTGTTACAGCGATTTTATTTTGCTTCCCGTTCTTAAATGACTATCCAGTTTTTAATGTATACTTATCGAATAATCTATGTCCTGTTACAGGAAAAAGTACTTGAAATTGAATATTTTAAAGCTGTAGCTCCAAGAAAGGAAGACGAACCTTCTTTGCATGATGACTGGGTTAGTGCAGTTGACGGTTCCAATGGCGGGTATGTTTTTTGTTTGATGATCATACATTACATGTGATGGAATATTTTTTTATGTGAACATAAGTTGTAGTTATCAATTTGATATACAGTAGGCATTATTGTCAAACTATAGTTAGGCATACTGCTGAAAATCCTAACTTTCTGTTTATCCTGTAGGTATATATTGACAGGATCCTATGATGGTTTTGTAAGGTAACTCCACCAAACTGTCACTCTTACTCATGTAACCATTTTTATTTCGGTCCGCAATGAAGAGAACTCATAATGCAGTATCATTTTGTTTACTACATCATAGAATATGGAGAGCTGCTGGGGTATGTACACATGAATTAGACGGACATTCTGGCCCAGTTACTTCTGTTTGTAATGTGACGCCAAAGGGTACTGAGGATTCTGTCTTACATTATATATGAGCTGTAATTAGTATTCTGTGATGACTTCTGGAATAAATTGTTGTTTGATTTATACACTTTAATATGGATGTCATTGTTTCTGTGACTGTTTACGAGACACTTTTTCCTCAACAGCTGTGAGTGGCATTGATCGGATTGTTGCTTCTGCTTCTAAAGACAGGACATTAAGATTGTGGAATGTACGTGTTAATTTTTTCTTGTCGATGTGGCTTTTTTCTTACCTGTTAGGGTATAGTTTATGCCAAAATGTATTTCCTGATTGCTTTCTTTTCCGAAAGTTTGCTGCAGAGGAATCTCTAGATCAACAAAAGAAGATTAGAGCATTTAAGATATTGAGGGGTCATACGGCTGCTGTTCAGACCATTGCAGCAGAGCCTTCTGGTGATATGGTATTAACTTTTGTGTCTTAAGTCCTTGTCCAGTATGATGTAATTAATGTAAATGAACTTGAAAACCTGTGTGACACTTCTCATTTCTCATCAGGTATGTTCTGGCTCGTGGGATTGTACTGTCAACTTGTGGAATGTAAATGCTTCCGAATCCAATGGCGGTTCAGTTTCATTGAAGAAAAGGAAAACGAATGGTGAAGATGATGAGCTTCAGTCTGAGGTAAATTGTTAAAATATGTACTCTGGTCATCTTTCATGCTGCTTTTTTAAAAGAGAGCAGTTTTCATCTGGATTACGTTAAAAATTTGAGGTCACAGTGTCTAGCTCATATACCATAATATGAGGTGAATGCCTAAAATGGATTAATGTATATTTTCCTTGTTTTCCATTGGATTATTGAATAAAGAGCCTTTATCTGTGAGTGTTGAGGCAGAAATCTTCGTGAGCTGTATCAGTGTACCTGCATAAAATGCAAATCGCGTTGCTTTTTTTTTTTTCACTGTCAGTATTTATAGGTCAGGTGGATATGAATATAACTTTAGCAAACAATATAATTTGGTCCTATGATCATCATCTCTTTGGTTTACAGGGAGAGGCCATAACAACATTGGTGGGGCATACACAAGGTGTATCTTCTGTTGTCTGGCCTGAACGTGGAACAATTTATTCAGCATCGTGGGACCATTCTATCAGAAAGTGGGATGCCGAGATAGGCAAAGATTCATTAAGCATAGTGAGTAAACTTTTGCTTCTATAACCCTTTCATTACAGAACAATTATTGATAATCTCATACAGCATGCATGCAACTATTAACTTTTCAAATTGGTCCTATTTATTGTAGCTATCTTTATTCTTGACATTCTTCTCTTTCTCTCTTTCTTTCTTTCTTTCTTTCTTTCTTTCTTTCTTTCTTTTTTTTGGATATTGATTCTGGGCATTCCTTTTACTTGTCAAATGGTCCAAGAGATTACTGTTATGAGGGTACTTGAGCAAATTTTTTGGAAACTTTAGAAATATGATTCCAAGTCCTTCCAAGATCCTATTACCTTGATCCATGATTGAAGTAACTTTGAGAAGTCTATGTCACCTGTTTTACTTGCATGTCTCTTACAAAAAATGTCTTTACTGTTAAAAGGGAACAATATCCAAAATTTAGTATTCTAGTAAATGGTTCTCCAGTAATAGAAGGTGTCATCAATAATTGCCACATTTTTCCTTCAAATAGTTCTGTGGCAAGGTCATCAGTTGTCTAGATATTGGAGGTGAAAGTTCGGCCCTCATTGCAGCTGGTGGTTCTGATCCCGTTATCCGAATATGGGATCCTCGCAAGCCAGGTCTCTCTCTCTCTCTCTCTCTCTCTCTATCTATCTATCTCTCTCTCTCTTTCCCTCCCTCTCTCTCCAACTGCCATTATGCATCATTGTCTTGTCATTTCTTTTGGCAGGAACTTTGTCTCCTATATTCCAATTTTCTTCTCATAATTCTTGGATATCTTCTTGCAAATGGCACCCTAAATCTTGGTTCCACTTGGTCTCTGCATCATATGATGGAAAAGTGATGCTATGGGATCTGAGAACTGCGGTTCGTATTTAAACTTAATTTACTTTTAAATTACTGATTTATTTCATTCTTTGGTTTTTGAATCACCTGTCTTCTGCAGTGGCCACTGGCTGTGATTGACACACACAAGGACAAGGTACTTCTCTAATCTTGAGTTCTGCAGATTTGAGTTTTTGTCTTATGCATACACACAACACACACACACACTCAAAATAAATGATATTGTTAATGTAGGTCTTTAGTGCTGACTGGTGGAGACACGATACCGTTATTAGTGGTGGTGCTGACTCGAAGCTTCGCATTTCTTCTGGAATATCAGTGATGTGATTGAAGGTATGCTTTGACTTATTGTTACTGTATATGAAGTGATGAAAACATAAAAATTTTGTGTAGCATATTTGTACTTTTCCGTCTGGTTTGCTCTCTATGGGAGTCTGATTGTGAATTCAGATATGAACCTGTGTGTATGGTTTGAAATTTGAATGTAACTTGTTACTCTTCTTTAGCCAAATGTGTAAAAAACTGCCTTATCTAATTTTGTGTGCAGTTAATAATATCAATCTCACTGTAACTGTTAAGGATTAATCATATCCAATCACCTAAAAAGTAAGATTATTTAAATTTATCCATAAGTACGGAGCATTAGGAAGAAAATTACAATTATTCTGGTGTCATTTGTAAACTAGAAATGAAAATGAAACGGTGTATATCTTGATTTATGTATTCCTGCTGGCTTAGCACTTTTCTTTTGTTTGGAAGCAGGATTGTACGAGATCTTCTTTGCTTGTGGTTCATGGAATCGAGCACGTTATCCAAGTATATTCCCCTAAACAGTTAATATAGATGTATAATACTACGAACATGCAACATGAATGATCCCTGTTCCCTCGGTGTTTGCCAAAAAGTTATGACCTCAGTAATCCAAATGCTAAGAGAATTGAGGCCCAAAGTCGAAACATTGAAGCTGGATCATAATTGGCCGGCGCTTAAATCTGAAAGCATCTATGAGCTTCTCACATATGGGGTGTCGTTTTATTATTCAGACAAAGCATTCAACGTTTGATTCCCATAAATATTTTTCGTTATTTTTTTGACGTTAAAGAAATTGTTTGACTTGCAATGTAGGCAACGAACTCTTTGGTTTGACATTAATTTTCTTGAAACGAAGATGTTACATTTGTTGATGCTCTAGATATTTCTATTTACTGTCGATTGGTCCCGTCGAATTTAGCTAAATTTGCATGAGAAAGGTTGTCTCTATTTTTTGTTTTCTATATTTAATTTTTTGGACATTGTGAATGAGTAGATCACATAAACCATACATTATTTGATTACAAAGTGTCCACTAGTTTAATTATATTCTCACGTTTTTGTTTGCAGCTTTTGGTTAGTTTTTATCATGGTTCTGAAAATCGAACCAGTCATCGAATAGGTGAAGTTATTGGTTCAAGGGTTCATTGGTTGGCCGTTGAACCGATCGAATCGGTTTGATTAATATTTAAATATTTATTTATTTTATATATATAATATATAAGTTTACAGTTATATATTTTTATCATTAATTTTATATTGTATGAAATTTTTATAAATAATACTTCCTCCTATTTTCTTTTAGATGTCATTCTAGTTTTATCAACTATTTGCTAAATAAATATCGTTTTGGATTTTTTGTATATATTTTTTCATATTACCCTCATTTAGCTCATAAATACATTACGTCTTTTCATATTTACTCTTCACTTTTTTACAAAACATTCATCTCTATCTTAATTAAATAAGGTTATTATTGACAAAAAAAAATATTCTTATTTAATGTGCAACTTCTCAAAACGACATATATTAAAAATAGGAGGTAGTAGTTCAATAATATATACAAGGGACAATGTTGAATAATGTTGATAACTTATTTTATTTTACTTTTTATATTTTAAAATTTGAATTTATATTTAAGTTACAAAATAGGGAGAATAGACACAACCTTAGTTTCATTTTAAATCAAATTTTTATTTTTATTAATAATTAAAAATAAAATAAAATTAAAAAAAAACAAAAATAATGAGCATAACAAACAACAATTGTTTCTTTTTTTTTTTCTTTCTAATAAATTGGGATATAGCCTAATAGATAGTTCAATTTAAAAAATAATATATTTTTTAAATGAGTACAATCTTACTTGTGAGGCCGAATATTACCCAATAATTTCATCGAGGGAACATATTGGGAACACAAGTAAAAAAGTGTATTTAAATCACTTCACAATCAACCAATTTCAAATTCATAAGTTTGAACAGTTGAACCATTCGAACACGTCTCAGTTCACCGATTGAACCGATTCTATCGGTTCCCATGTTTGACTATTTGATGCAACAAACTTGACTGGAATGAAGCCCGGTTCCCGGTCCAATCGGTTGAACCAGCGGTCCGATTCGGTTTTGAAAACCATGGTCCTTATAGACAATCAATATAATTAAAATGGATGATAGAAGTATGGGATGCAGTTTTTTAAATGGTTGAAATTGCAATTGCATGACCGACATGTAAATCGCTTTTTTTTTTTTTACATAGGTCTACACGAAGTCCAACCATAACCGAAAGCAGAAACAAGAAAAAGAAAATGCAGCAACCAAAAGAAAAATTCTGAACCTGGGTTGACAAAGGCCCAGGGAAACAGTATGCTCCACCAAGAGGGTCGAAGCATAGAAATACAGGGCGGTGACTTGAATATAAATGAGGATAGCCCACCTGGTCCATCTTCACAAGAGTACGAAGGCGGAGAGGGCCGTCATCCAGGTGGAAGGTGCTCCTCTATGGGGTGGAGGCACCTAGGTTGGCCAGGTAGTCAGCGGGTCGGTTCAACTCGCAGAAGATATGTGAGATCCAATAGCGAACCGACTGAAGTGTGGATCTGATGCGCATGAGTGGGTGTTGAATCTGTCACAAGCTCTAGTGACATTAGGTCAAGAGGGTGGCAACATCGGTAACATCCAACTCTATTCGATTGTGAGTAGAGATAGTTGTTGCAATCTGAAGACCGATTTGAAGCGTTTCAACCTACGCATCGTAACTCGAGGAGGCGTGAAGAGGAATGTGGAAGGCGGTAACGAGAGCTCCGATGTGATCTCTAATCATGCCCCTACCTCCGACGGCTCCAGTAAGTCAGTCGAAAGAGTTGTCAGTGTTTAGTTTAACTCAAGGGGAGTCGGGTCTCAGCTAAACAACGACTCTATGGCATGGGTGTTGGATAGACGGCAACAGAGATGGTACGAAGTGAGGAGGCGGCGTGCAGCTTGTCCAGTTTCTAGGTGTGAGTTTACGCAGAGTTGTGAGGAGAAATAAACGTTGATCAACCTGCAAAACAATGTGAGATCACATAAAAGTAATATACCTACGCTTCACATTATTTTTTTCTGTCCAAATGAACCACATGATCTGACAATGAATGAGAAAGCCCACGTGTCTAAAGTGTGTGTGCTGTGACAAAAAACTCAAGAGCACAAAAAAAATGTTTGTAGTGGGTATGAGTATATAAGTATAAGTGAAAAAATGCTCTCACACTCTCTTTGCAACCTTACTCTCTAAAAACAAATGACAAAAAGTCTCAGTCTGGAAATCACTAGTCTGAGCACACTAGTAACACCGCGATGAAAGGAAAACCCTCTCGCCTCCAACATAGAGGCGATCTAAATTCGGCGCAGAAGAAGGTGCCAAAAAAAGACATAGATGGTCGGCGTAAGCAGGTCAGTCCAAATGGCAGCGAAGAGAAGGTTAGGTCGGTCACCCAACTATTCTCCCCAAGCTGAGGTCGTAGAGAATGCACCTGAAGATGTAAGTCTTCACCCCATACCATCTGAACCATCATTCGAGATGGGAATCTGTTGGATCTAATCTAAAACCTGGTCATTAAAACCTGCTCTAGTACCCAACACCCTATTTAACCTATAACTATCCCACGGCCAATCAGTCCACAGGTCCTTCACCCGCATGGAAGGAGAGTGAGTGACCTGCCTAGTGCTTGAAAAAGACCCCTCACAAAACCACCACTCGTCCCAAAAGTTAACATCTCCTTCACAAGCGTTCAAGAGATGTGCTCTTGGGCACGCCTACCTACCGTGGTTAGCCGCCTACACTGTCTACTATCATGAACAATGGTCGTCACCCTACATGGATGACAGACACCTGTAGGACAGTACTTTCCGCGAAGGTACTGCTCCTAAAGCGACTTTTCCTCCCCGAAACGCCATATCTTATAAGAGAAGGCGGTGACTACATCCGATAATTGGCGAATCCCAAGGACACCCTCGAGAAAAGGCCGGCAAATGGGATCCCACTTCACCAAGTGGACTTGTCTCCCCCTCTGGGAGCCTTCCCCATGCCCCGAGAAATAACAAGCCGTGATCTTGTCTAACTGGTGTATAGTGTATTGAGGAGGATCGAGGGACATAAGAAGATAAAGTGGAAAAGTTTTGAGGGTGCTCTTGATTAGAGCGAGTCGACCCCCAAAAGAAAGATATCTATACGACTAGCCAGAGATCCAGTCAATCATCCTCTGCCTGCATCTGCAAAGAGCGCACTAGTGAGATGGCTCTTATACAGAGAGGCGTTGAGGTAGGTGATGGGGAGGTCGCCACGCTCAAAACCCGTGCGCTTGTGGACCCATTGCGCTCACCAATCCGCAATGGAAGGAGAGAGGATTAAGATGCTCTTATGCATGCTGACGAGATGACCGATAATCGAGTCGTAGTGCTCTAGAAAGTGCATAAACTCGACCAGTCCATCATTATCCACACATGTCATCTGCATACGAGAGGTGCGAGATGGAAGGACCATAGCCATTTGTGTTGTAGGACCATAGCCTTTTTCCTTGACCGACATAGGATCACATAAATCAGAATGAATCTTTAGCCATATACCCCTTAGCGGAACACAACCTCTTGGTCATCCTACATTCCATGAAAGACTCACAGGTCGGATAGTCAACCACTTTCAACAGACCAAGTTTTCTATTGGCTATAACACTTTGAATCCTACTTAAGTTAACATGACCAAGCCTAAGTTGCTAATGAAATGCTTGATTCTTTTTTTAAAGTTCTTTTCTCTTATGTGTTTTAGTTAATGTGTTATTCATTTCCATTTGTAGCATTGTGGAAGTGTTTGTTTTAGAGTATACAATTTTTCCACTAATGAACTAGAAAAAAAATGTTTATCCTTATGAATTACAACTTTATTATAAAAAGACATTAAATTTATTCAATAATAATTTAGGTAGTGAAACTAAACTCTTTCTAAATAACTAAACATAAAGGCAGTCTCTTAAAACCAAACTTCTA